TGGGGAATTCTGGGAGTTGAAGTCCACCCGTCTTAAAGTGGCCAAGGTTGAGAAACACTGATATAGCCATTATCCTATTAATTTAAACATGGTTTTGTAATGTGTGAACAGCACTAAGCCCGACATCTGCATTTCTGGTTTTCTTCCTGTTCTGTTACAGTTTCTTCCTTCTTAATAAAACTAAAGAAAAAAAACGATTCTGTGCTTGTCACAAATGTTTTCTAAAAGACAACACTCTGCATTCTCCAGGACATTTGTTCCTTCCATAAATCGATGCCTCGTGCCTAGAAAAGCCAAATCATGTGACAACAGCAAGTGACCCAGAGAGCTTTCTCTTTCCTTTTGCTTCTGTCCGCCATCAAAACCTGCAAAGGCCTGCTCCCCATCTTGAATACCATATTCTAAGCTTATTTTCACAGTCCCGTGGACAAGGAACTTCCTTCATATCGGCTGTTCTTACCAAAATGTCTTGGGAGGATGAAGGCGGCACTTCCGTGGTGCAATTATAGAAGAGGAGCAGAATACAACCAACCCTGCTACTTCCTCCAGCAGATCCTTTGGGGCAGACCAGCCTATTTATCCCTTCACTCCTCTGCCATTTCCTGTAGAATTATTGCCTTTTTTTATATCTGGATAAAATTGCACGAGTGGGCTGTTCCCACCAAACATCACAGTAGAGACTTTCTTTGCCCAAACGATTTCAATCTCAGCAAGGATCACCCATGAAGTTGAGGTGGCTGCCAACTTTCCTTCCACTGGTTTAGGTTCTCTAAGGCTTCAGATGTCCTAAAGCCTCATCTACAGGCTCTTCGTTGACCTGTTCTGGTGGCTGAGTGGATGACAAGATCAGAGAGAAGGTCCAAGGCAACAGATGGCTGGCAGCATTTACTAACGGTATCTTAAGTTGGTGGAGATCAATCCCCTCTACGCTATACTGCTGAAGGTTTTTTCCCCATTTCTTTGACTGAGATGAAGCCAGGTCTCATCCATGTCACTTTAGGGGAGGAGGAGGTATCTCAAGTGAGATTCCCCTCAAACAACCCACAGCCACGATCCTACCACACCTACTTGGAAGGCAGCCCCACCCACCCCCATAGGACTTCTGAGCAAGCACTGGTTAGGGTTGGGCTGTCAAAGAGGTAGCCATTTTTGATAATGGGGCATAAGGGTCCTGTGCAGGATGAGGACAGATCCCAGGAATCCCATCTCCTACGGCCTTCTATTCCAACTAATTAGATCCCTTTCACTTCCCAGACTATCCAGGAGCTTCGCTTCAGGTACGGTCTACTCTGCTAATCCACTAGCCCTTCCCACACCCGTCCACAGAATCCAGGGCTTCCACCCCTCTAGCATACTAGCACTAATCCTATCCCACAAAACTCAGGGATCCTGGCTCATTACCCCTACATCTAATCCCTCTAGCCCACGTCCCTCCCTCAGAGCTCAGGAGTCCCCCTTCCATTTCCCACCGCTACCCCTACTTCCTCCTTCAACGTATGAGGACATTGATCTCGGTCACGCTGGCTTCCATGACGTTCTCAGCTGTAGTTTTGCCGTGCTGTTCCTTGAGGTGGCGGCGAATTGCAGGCTTGTGGGCAAAGCGCACATCACAGTAAGAGCAGCGGTATGGCCTCTCACCACTATGGAGGTTCATGTGATCATGGAGTGTGGACTTCTGAGTGAAACACTTCCCGCAGATGGTGCAGGAATGTGATTTCACCCCACGGTGAACATTCATATGCCGGTTGAGGTTGCTGCTGTGGTTGAACTGCTTGCCGCACCGAGGGCACATGAAAATGAAGTGATGGGCCCGCATATGGAAGACAAGCTTCTCCACCCCCTGGAAGACCTCCTCACACTTGGTGCAACAGATGATTCTTGAGATCCCACTACCTCCCCCTAGTGTTCCTGAACTGCTACCTCTCCCTACCACAGGAAAGGTGGAGAAGGGACGACCACTCAGTCCTGCAAGCACCAGTCCCATCCCACTGCTGCTGCTCTGGCACTCAGCAGCAACAGCTGCTGCCTCGCTGGTCTCCTCCAAGTAGCCTCCCCCAGGGATGATCAGGAGGCCTTTACCTACAGCATCCTCAGAGAGGCTGTAGGAGGCCTTTACCACACCATGCTGAGGTTTCTCTGGTGTAGATTCTGGAGAAGACTCAATGGCTTCTGCCACTGTAGAGTTGACTTGAGGTTCTTCCTGGTCTCCAGATTCAGCTTTGTTCCACCCTGGTGGAGGAGATAATTCTTTGTCCCAAGCTTGTTGTGGTGAACT